GACATTCAGGAAAAAACTGAACTCCTGAATGCCCACTTTGCTTCGGTATTTCATTGGACCATGGGGAAAGACAAGGGAGATAAGGTTCATAGGGGACATGCTGGGACTGACAGCCTCCTCCCCACTGTGGATACTGAGTGGGTGCAATACCAACTAGAAAAGCTAGACATTTATAAGTCAGCAGGACTGAATGGACTCCATCTGAGAGTGCTGAAGGAGCTGGTTGAAGTCATTGCAGAATGCCTGGCAGAGCTCTTTCAGAATTCATGGCACACAGGGGAGATCCCTGAGGATTGGAAGAGGGCCAACATTGTGCCCATCTTCAAGAAGGGGAAGAGGGAGGACCCGGGCAACTATAGGCCAATCAGCCTAATCTCTATCCTTGGGGAAATTCCTGGAAAAGCTCATTAAAGAATCTGTGTGTGATATGCTTGCAGAAGGTAAGATTCTGAACAACAGTCAGCATGGCTTTGTCATGGGTAGGTCTTGTCTTACCAACATCATCTCCTTCTATGACCAGGTCTCTCACCACCTGGACATGGGAAACAAGGTAGACATTATATACCTAGACTTCCAAAAGGCTTTTGATTTAGTATTCCACAATATCCTTGTGGGAAAACTGGAAGATTGTGGGCACAGCTGCTTGATGGTTCAGTGGGTGGGAAACTGGCTACAGGGTAGGACCCAGAGTTCTCATGAATGGATCTGTGTCAGCCTGGCATGAATCCAGGCCAGTGGTGTCCCTCCGGGGTCTGTGCTTGGACAGGTGCTTTTCAACATCTTTATCAATGTTTTGGATGAGGGAGTGAAAAGCTCTCTGGCCAAGTTCATGGATGACACCAAATTATGGGGCAGTGTGGCCACACCAGAAGATAGGTTGCAGACCTGGACAGGCTAGAGAGCTGGGCAGACCAGAAACAGATGAAGTTTAACACTTCCAAGTGTAAGGTGCTCCATCTGGGGGCAAATAACCCTCAACATGCATACAGGCTCAGAGGTGACAGCCCAACTTGCACCATGGCCAAAAGGGACCTAGGGGTAATGATTGACTATTGCATGAACATGAGCTGTCAGTGCAATGCGGTGGCCAGCAGGACACATAACACACTGGCATCTTGTGTAAAACTAAGCAAGTGATACTCCTGCTGTACTCCGCTCTGGTGAGACTGCAGTTGGAGTATTGCATCCAGTTCTGGGCAGCGCACTTCAATAAGGATGTGGAAAAACTTGAGAGGGTCCAGAAAAGAGCCACCTGTATAATCAGGGACTTGCAAGGCAAGTCATACAAGGAAATTCTGAGGAACCTGGGCTTCTTTAGCTTAAAGAAGAGATGGTTGAGAGGGGACTTGATAGCAATTTACCACTATAACAGAGGAGTGCATCAGGAGCTTGGTGAACAGCTGTTCACTAGGGCACCACTGGGGAAGACCAGGACCAATGGATATAAAATCCTGGAAGGCTGCTTCAGGTTTAATACCAGGAAAAACTCCTTCACAGTCAGGGTGTGAAGACTGTGGAATAAACTCCCTCCAGAGGTGGTGCATTTATCTACTCTGGAGGTTCTCAAGAAGCGTCTGGGCAGTCACCATGCTGGGGTCACTTGACCCCAGTTGTCTTCCTGCCTAGAGTGGATGGGGCTGGACCCAATGATCTGTGACATCCCTTCCAGCCCCTATGAATCTATGGGCTGTGTGTCATGCTGAGCCAGGTCCTGCGTCCGGTGGCAGCACTGCCAGACCTGCGATACATGCAGGGAGGAGGCACGTGGTGGAACCTGGCCTGGCATGGCTCGCTAGTGTGACTTTACAGCTGACCAGGAGGTGTGGCACCAGGACGTGCAGCTCCTGTGCAGAGGTATGCTAGCTGCGTGGCCCAGGCCAGATTGGGTTGGGCCAGCGGGGCGCATTTTCCATGAGGTTTAGACAGCGGTGCGCTATGGCCGCAGCCATGCACTGTCACCTGAGCCTCATGGAAAACGCACCCCGATGGCCCGACCTGACCCAACCTGACCCGGCCCTGTGCCTCTGCACAGGAGTTGCACATCCTGCAGCCATGCCTCCCAGTCTGCTGCAAAGACGTGCTAGCGGGCTGTGCCAGGTCGGGTCCCGCCACGTGCTTTGTGGAGGGGCTCAAGCGGGGACTGCAGCATGCTTGCACTCCCCACCTAGCACCCGCTTTTTTTGCCTGAGTTTTATTTTGATACCTGGATGTCCAGGTATCCAATTTTGAGCCTGTGTGCCTTTGAGATGCTGCAAGAGGCACGTGCGCGCTCATCTGGATGTGCCCCTAGTGACTTAGAAGAGAACTGCAGCTTGACATTTCTTTCCCATGTGCCTCTGGGTTTGACAGATTATTGTCTATTGAGGGGTGTGACAATAACTAGATTGCTGGTTTCCATGTTGGAAGAAAGTGCTGAATTGTCTAAAGGAACAGAAAAGCATCATT